GACGGATGTATGCAATAATGCGGTTCACGCGCCTTTTTCATAGAAATAATATGAATATAAAAGTTGAACTAGGCAGGTGCCCCATCCTTACTTGTAGTCATGATCGAATTAACAACCCTGAAAATAGTTGTCTTGAAACGATCCATATGTTCTCTCATCCAGTGCGAGACCATATGCGAGACTACAATGTAACCGTGTGAATCACATGCATCACAAAATTTTCAAGTCTTCAGAAGATCCATACCAGACTCAAAAGCCTAGGGGCCGCTGATGCAGGGAGCTCATCATGGACGGGTTCGCGTTGTTATTGGCCAACAAAGTATCCTGCGCTTGCGCCGCCGAACGGGCACGCCGAAGACGATAGACCAAAACAGGAATCTCTTGAGAGATGCTTCCAAAATAGAAGAATCTTACACTATATGACGTTGACCCCGCTTCATCCATCATCGTGGAGATGCGGTTGAACAAGAGGATTATCGATTGCTGGTAAAGGAGGATGGTGGTGTTGGTACAGCTGTACACATTTGCAGTGAAGTTACAAACCAACATCGGACATAAGCGAAGATTAAACTGGGGGAGAACTTTTAGTCCATACACGTCTCTTAGATTAATCGAGAAGCCACGGATCGAAGGTGTGTGCATGATTCACTAAGTAAGCAGCCGGCGCGGGTACTGGAGATGTTGTGAACACGAAACACCAAGGATTTTCAGCAGAGGCATGTTGGGCGTCTGTCAGTTCATCAGGAGGCATTTGTAGAGGATTCAGCTCCATGCGAATCATAAAATTTGCCCCGATGAGCTATAATTTGCACTTCTTCAGGTTATCGCTTCACCAGTGCTCGGGGAGTAAGTTGTTGAAAGATGCTTAGAGTTATTCAAGTCTCAGACTTTGGGCGAACACAACGTCGAATGGGGCCAGACCTGTGATCACTGTGGCACATACGGTAAAGACTCGAAATGGCTCGAAACTTTATTGTCCAAACCGCCGTATTATTCTTGGTCTT